TTTGTTTGCTTAAAATGCTGCACCAAAACTCCTTAAGGTCAGTTGGCAAATTTCAAGCCTTGAATGGTTTGAAAAAAGGACACCAGGTTATTTCAGACACAGAAGGGCCACTGACAATTTGTTAGCTAAATGATGGCTTTTGTCACAAGAAAGAATCTCTGGAAATTTATTTTACAGTCATTCAAGGAGGATTAAAATTATGCATTCTAAAAGGTCAAGAACTTTGCATTTAATTTTAATTATTTAACTTAGAAAACTCCTGATTTAAAAAATATAGCATGTAATAACAATCTTCAAAATTTCTAATGGTATTCTCTGTGAACTTGTTTATAAAATTGGCTGGGACGAGTTTAAGACTGAATTATGCGAACTCACAACATAGCTTGTTACCTTAAAGACTTGTTAACTTTTCCCCATATAATTTTTTTTTGTCATTTCAGTAACAAAAATATGGTCCCGTCCTGGTAACTTTAAAAGAGAGCTTCCTTACTTTTGCTATTCAAATGCAAGATCTATTTAAGAATAATTCAAAGCTTATTTTCATTTCTGTATGTTGTTTAACATTTAATTGTTAGTTCAATGATACAAAATAAACGTAAATTTACAGTTATAAGTCCTTTCAGTAACATTCATTAGTCCTTGCAGTAACAAGCATGTCCTTGGTGTAACACATATTGATTTCTATTCTGCAATATAGCAAACATAGTAAAAGTTTATTTTTGCATTCAGATTGATAAAACTTACTCTGTTCATAAAAATAGAACAAGAAAAAAAATGATATTCTTATGTGCGTGCGAAACATACTGACATTGTTGTACTCAATTTCCTGTTTTGTTTACAGTTGAAGACGAAAAAAAGTCTTTTGTAGAGAAAAAAATACATCTATAAAAAAAAATCCCATTTCCAGACTTAAACTGAAATTTATATAAAGTGTGTTGTTTGTTTTTGCTTTGTTGTTTAGATATTATTAATTTATTAAAAATGTAGAAAACGTTATCGTTACTGCAAAGACAAACAATGGTCAATATTGACCTTCTGACAATCATAAACGATATAAAATGGACGAGTTTATGTTGCACTTTGTAAAACTAGCTTTCAAATTCATATGCTTACTAGATGAGATAAAACTTTGCAGCTCAATAAGGTATTCATATTTGAATAAAATCAGAACCCTAATTCAGGCGAAATTTGATATTAGCTCATATATTAGTTCCACATGTGTTAAGTTGCTTTAAGGTTGTTTTTCATTTGAGCTTCAGGTTTACATGACATATGTATTACTTGATATATGAACTTTAAATCTTTGCTTGAGGCACACTGTTTCTCATGAAAGAGTCAATCTTGCAACTTGATAATGACCTGTCTTGGAGATTATGCTTATAAGGAGGTAGTAAGGAACTAAGCTTCTTAGTAGATGTGTTCGTATTTGATACTACATGTATTATTTAATATTAGTATTTCTTAAAGATTTTTTTCATGGCCATTGGTTCGGCTTGCTGATGAATATTACTTCTGTAATAATTATTGTGCTAGCATATGGATAGATAAAACTGTTTTGTGTTTGTTCATGGAACAAATAATCATATTTGTATTTGATAAACGAATGTCTTTTTATGAATGTGATACATGTGATTAAAAGTTTATAGAATTTATATCCTTAAATTTAAATTTTTCTTGCGTTTTCTTTTTCTCCTCAAAAGTCTTAGTTCATTCTAGTTATTTGACATGTAGATCACATACTGAAATTCAAATTTATCCTCCCATCTCTCCCTATTTGTGTGTTATTTGTATATCTAAGTAGTGTTCAATTTATTCTTATATATTTTATTACCTTAATGTTTGAATATTTGCTTGATGATGAAACTACTGTAATAATTATTGTCCTAACATATGGATAGACAAAACTATTATGATTGTGATTGTTGATTTGTATTTGATATTCGATAAAAGAATGTATTTATATGAATGTGATAATGTGGGCTCAAGTTTACCTATTTATATTCTAGTATTATCTAAATTTCTTTTGTGTTTTCTTTTAAATGAAAACTTATTATTCACATTTGTGAATCACATGAGCCAACCTTGATAGGATTGATAAAATACAAAAGGAATGCCATAGCTACATTTGTCGTTATTTTATTTTGGTTCCTGTTTTTAAATGTCTCTCCAAATGCATCATTTCTGTTTAAACATTTGATCATTATGCTACTTAACTTCTTACATGTATATCTAATAACACAGGAAAGAGAAAATAACACAGGAATGTTAAATTGTGCAAAACTACAACAGAAATGAGCAACGTGATCATTAAATGTTTCAATATAACACACAGTATATCAACATTTTAATACAAAACAATGTCTTAGCAGCTGTATGCGGTAATTTATTTCATATGTAGACTGGATATAATTGGCATGGGGGATGTGAAATTGGGGATATGGCACGGTGTAATAGCATTCATAACATTCATGATTGGACACGGGGGATGTGGCATTTGGGATGGGACACTGTGGATATGGCACTGGGAATGGGTCGCGGGGGATGTAGCATTGGATGTAGGATGTGGCATAGGAGATGCAGCACAGAAGATGCGACATAGGAGATATTGCATATGAGATGTGGCGTTGGGGATGGTGCACTGAGGATAGGGGCACTCAGTTTAGTCATCTTCTATCCACTTTAGTTTTTAATCCCTTTTTTCAAATTATAAGTTGGTGGTGGAAAGTTAGTTCATGGCATCCTGTTGCACATGTGTTGTTCTTACAATACATTCAATTATATAAATAGCAAGCTCTATATTTTTCTATCAACTTACTGCCTTTTTCTAGCATTTTGCATTTTTGAAACAAGAAAGTGGGGTTTGCCCAAGAAATTCGTTTATTTAACATGCAAGCAGGTCCCTTCAATAATGAATAAAGTTATATTAAAAATTAAATATAGTTAAATGATATTATTAAAACTGTCACAAAATCAGCCAAGAAGATCTTAGTGTGATATACAAAAAAAAACGAGAATAAAGATCAACAAGGCAAAGACAACATTCACAGGACGCAGCCTCCTCCCACCACACACACACACACACACACACACACACACACACACACACACACACACAATTTAAAATTGTACAAAATACAATTTAGAGCACATAATGTATAACTGAAAATTTAGTTTTTTTAGTGATGATAATTTACTGAATACAGATTACAACAGGTAGGTTATATATTTGATTGGTTTATTTATATAACGTAAATAAGTACAATTACATTGCTATAGACTTTCTGTCTATTGACTGGAGATAATATCAAATATTTTAGATTCGTTTTTCCCATTTCATAAAATATTTTGAGCGGGTTAAAATTAACAATTTCGGATTACATTATAAGAAAAGACATCCTTATGTGTATAAACTTTATGATACTTGGCACAACATACAGTATGAAGCTAATCAACATTCAAAAGAAAATAAAATTTCTTCGTGTTAACTGATCTATTTGTAGCGCAATAAGTCGTTGTAAATGTTACGTTGTGCTGTGACTGCGTTTCAATAAAACGCTTTAAGATGCACCTACCCATTGAGTATCTCTGTGTCATGAGAAAATGTATCACAAATGATAGTTCAACGTCTTATTTGTAGATAGACATACGCTATGAATAAAGGAATTAGAATTAATAAAATTTCTGTTCGAATGTTAGCCACTTTCAGTCTTTCTGTCATGACCGGTGGCATTGAAAATACATTTCAGCCTTCAACGGCTGCAGATTCTTTTACACCGGGTTTGTTTGGAAGTCTCAAGAATGCTCGGTATTAGTGACCAAAAGTGATGAATGCTTATGTGTATAGCAAGAAATCCTTTCATTTATTTCAAACTTGAGATATTTGGGAAAAAAAACAACATTTTTACGGATTTGTCTGTGGCTGACATTTTCAACCGCTCAAAATATTCCATGAATGGGGAATCGAATCCAGAATTACCTGACAGTATTTCTAGTCAATGGACAGTAAGGTTGTAGGAATGAAATGTCCTTATTTGCGATATATGAATATACCAATTAAATAATCTACCAGGTGATCAGTAAATTTTAGATTTCTGTAATCATTGCGGGTTCGATTCCCGAACGGTGCAGGTCACTTTTATAGTGATTGATCATGAAATCCTTTCTCCGGTTATCCTCTCTGTACACCTGCTCTAGATATATTGTATAGAATATATAAGCGTTCCTTGCGAAAGAGAAGGCAACTTTAACTAGTAAACTGCATATCTGCATCTCCAGAAACAATGTGGTTACTGACCTGTGCTACAAACTACAAACACCACTACCATCACTGCAGCAATCTGTGAGCAATGGTGCCGGTAATATGGTGTGTTATACAAATGATGATATCTGAATATAACCATTCCACATAAATAATTCAACAATGTTTGCTTATTTCAGCAAATAAAATTGATGTAGCTATAACATGATTTGAAGTCACTTAAGTCCATCTTTGGGGTGACGACGGCGGCGACGATGACGACGATCGAACAGGTTTTTGCTAAGTATCGTGTCTGTGGGGGTTCGTCTTTTTTCCTGAAAGCAAGATTTTTATTTAATCAATTGAAATTCACTGACATTTTATTGATAATGAAAAATGAAGCCAAAATAAAATGCTTCGTATAATGATGTTCCAATTAACATAAATTATGATATTTCTTAAAAAGTACAAAGTTAATGCATTCGTCCTCAACGGCAGTGAACTCTGCTTATTTCTGTTAGTGCTAAGATAGTGTAGAGAAATGTTTTTACAAATTTGTAGAAAAAAGAATTAAATTCAAGGTAAAATCAAACGTTTTCTATGATCACGTGTGCAAATTCAGTTTTACAAATTAAGTGATCGTTTTCAAATATTAACATTTTAATATTTTTAGGATACAAAAGGTACAAGACATCATTTGCACGGTGTATAAGTATTTATAAGGAAGAAGGTTAGGCAAATATAGCATCAATGAACAACTTACAGATGGACGGTGGTTTCTCTTAGCTCTTTTGACTTTTTCATTCATGAATCGCCTTGTTCTTCAAACAGTCTTTTAAAAATGATATATTGATGTTTGCACAATTCAAATTGAAAAAACCCTCTTATTATGTAAGAGACCATGTCATTATAATCATTTATTAAATGTTTTTAATCTTTAACGGTTAATGCTGGTACTGGTAATAACAATATCACACATACTTCGGACAAGGTTCTGTTTTATTTGATTACAATGTTTAAATAAACTATGATAAAAAAACAATATACGATATGCAGCAGTCATCTGTCGTATAAAAGTGATCGTTTTTAAATAAACTGACAATTTAAAATGGATTGGTCTACAATTGGAACATTTTCCATTAATGTTTCAAGTATTGATAAAAGTAATAGAAATGTATTATTTGAATAATCTTATAAATATTTCTTTGAAAAAATGTTGATAAGTGTTGTAAGATATATTATATGTTATTTTGGTTTTGGAGTGATATATGTGGATATATTACCTGTCAAGATTTTATATCACCCGAGCCGTTAGGCGAGGGTGATATTTTATCTTGACAGGTAATATATCCACATATATCACTCCAAAACCAAAATAATATTTTTATTACCCTTCCCCTGTCGAGCTTAGACGATTTTAAAATATATCATTGCTACTTCAAATGAAACGTCGAAATAAGATTCCTTTTAGGGCACCCCTTCACCACAACATGACGTCACATAAATACATGACGTATATTCTTTCGAACGTAACGAATGTAAACAAGAGAAAAGGAGTAGTCTTATGAACGCACTTTTTTGGAATTAATATCAAGCTTTCACAAGGTCAAATTTGTTTTCAATACTGATGAGAATATGTATCATTACTCTATTTTGGTAAATATTTATCATTTGACAGTTAAAAAGTGCTTGTAAATCGGAATTTACATCGTGTAAGATCAAACCGTACGCGTATCGCCACAGCGCATGTTGTTTACAACGTGGGGTACCTAACGGGGAAATTGAGTGTGTATATTACCCGGCTCGGTAATATCAATTTCTTTCGGGTGATCAATATCCAATCAAAAAGGCGGAAAAAATCTGGAAGGGTAATAATAAGTTATATGGCGAGAAATAATATTTTTCTAGAACGATATATTATGTACATATTTATACATCTACATGTATATCTATATAAAATCGGATCATGTTTCTCACATTTACAAACAACATCAATATTTCATTCAATATTAAACACCATTAACATGATTGTTTATGTTATTACAAAACTTCTACTTCAGACCAATTTGCTTTAATGTATTTTAAAACAAAAGGGCAGGGCAACAGTTTAGCACTTGCTGTTTTATAATTGAAAATGAGTATAGGTGCATAAAATACTTACGGTTTGGTTGAAGTATCTCTTTTTTCGTTTAACTTCTTTTGTGTGTATTGTTCGCTAAGCTTTTGCCTGAAAAGGTATATTTTAGTAAAGTAAAATTCATAATAATAATAAGTAAAGAGATCATGCTATTATCATTAATTTATTTGTTTAAGTTTTTGTTAAACACAGCATTTTCCCAGATTCATGCTAATTTCCATGAACAGTTTAAAAATATATTCAAATCATTTTATAAGATTCCCTGAAAGCCAAAATCTCTCTTGCTAGAAGTTTTGATTCTTTACACAAACTCCCAGATATTGGATCTTTCTTTAGAAAAAATGCATAACATGTACACATGGACGAGACAGCCATCATGACCCTTATATCGCTGAATATATAAATATTTTTAATGTCAAGGGGTAGTAATATTATTAACTATAAACGAATGCAGATAGAACATCTAAATCTTTTTTTTGATATCACAAAGTTAATATGTTTATCTGAAAACATTTACTGGTTGCTATTCCTAAGGGAAAACAATAGTTACTAAAGAAGTCATTGGTTGCTGTACAAAAGCAGTGGTTTCCTTGGAAGTCAATGAATGCCATAAAATTCAATGGTACACTCGTTGCTATGGAGAGTTAATGATTGCTATGGATGCCACTGATTCCTATGTAAAAAGTTTGCTATTGAAATTTACAGTTTGTTATGATAAGTCAATGGCTGATTTGAAGTCACTTGTTGCTATTAAAAGCAGTTGGTTGCTATGGGAGTCATCGGTTGCTATGGAAAGTCAATTGATTTTATGAAACATTAATGGTTGCTATGGAAATTATTGGTTGCTATGAGAGTCGTTAATTGCTATCTGCAGTCATTGTTTGCTATGCAAGTCTATGGTTGCTATAGAAAGTCATCGGTTGCTATGGAAATTCAGTATTTGCTATGGAAGTCATTGGTTGCCTTGGAAAGTCAATAGTTGCTTTGGAAAGTCAGAGGCTGCTCTGGCAAATGAATGGTTGCTGTATAACGTGATCGGTTGTTACTGGTGTATGGTTTCTGTGGAAATTTAGTTGAAAGTCAATGGTTGCAACGTTAGTCACTGGTTGCACCGGAAAGCCATTGGTTTCTATGGAAAGTTAATGGTTGCAATTGAAAGTCAATGGTTGCAATATTGGTCCTCGATTGATATGGAAAGTCATTGATTGCTATGAATATGCACTGATTACTATGGCTGGAAAGTCAATGCTTACAATATAAGTCAATGGTTGCTATAGAAAATCAATAGCTGTCCTTTATAGGTATTGGTTTGTATGGAATGCCATTGGTTGCTAAAGAGGTCTATGGTTGCCTTGGACAACCAATGATTGTGATGTAATTCATTGGTTGCTATAGAGAGTCACTGGTTGCTATGGAAGTCAGTAGATGCTATGGTAAGTTACTGGTTGCTATGGAAAGTCAATGTTTGCTATTGAAATCACTGGTTACAATATTGGTCACCAGTTGATATGGAAAGTCAATGGTTGCCATGAGAAGGCACTGATTGCTATGGAAAATCAATGATTGCTATGAGACGTCAATTGTTGCTATGGCAAGTCAATGGTGCTATAAAGTAAATGGTTGCTATGGAAAGTCAATGGTCGCAATATAAGTCAATGCGTGCTATGTTAAATCAATTGTTGTCATTGAAATATATTGGTTGCTATTGAATGTCATTGGTTGCTAAAGAGGTCTATGGCTGCCTTGGACAGCCAGTGATTGTTATGTAATTCACTGGTTGCTATTGATAGTCACCGGTAGCAATGGAAGTCGGTGGTTGCTATGGAAAGTTACTGGTGTCTTTGGAAAGTCAGTGATTGCTATGACAACTGACATACAAGGAAAATTTATGTTCCCCCGGGGTTTGGCCCATTTTGGTTCAGGGCTAAAATTTGAATATTTTTGTTGAGGATCACCAGACTAAGATCCAATTTGTTGATTATAAGAAATAGCCCTTGCAGTTTTCATAAGGAGAATTTTAAGGTATTTACTAAATAAGAAAAAAGACATGGCCCCCGGGGGCAATTGTGACCAAAAGACTATCATTTGAACAAACTTAGAGGTCTACTAGATAAAGTTTCATGTCAAACAACTAAACTTTAGCTATAATTGTAGTTTTGTAGAAGAAATTCTTTTGAAATTTGTGCTATATACATAAACAGAAAATCTATATTGCTCTATATGGGTAGGGCCAATTACTCAAAGGCAATAATTTGAACAATTTTTGTAGAGGTCCACCAGACAATGTTTCATAACAATTATCTCAGGTGAAGCCTTAACACTAAGCTTAAGCTGTTGCAGTTCTGGAGAAGAAATTCATCTAGAAAATTTTACTATATACATATACATATAAGACAAATCTATGTTCAAATTAGACCCAAGGGCTATGACAGAAAATGTTTCATAACAGTTATCTAAGCTTAGGCTTCTATAGTATAACATATATCTTTTTATTTATATATTTTTTTTTGGGGGGGGGGGTTACTATATGCATATCAGGAAATCAATTGGGCGGGGCCAATTTTTACCCAAGTGCTATGGTTTAAACAAACTTAGAAGAGGTCAACTAGATATTTTTTCATGTCCAAAAGATATTTTTGAAGTTTGTACTATATGAGAAAAACCTATGTTCCCTTGGGCCGGGGCCAATTTGATCCTAGGGATATAATTTGAACAATTTTTGAAGAGGTTCACAATTTTTCACACCAACTATCTCTGCTAAAGTCTCTTTAGTATACCAGAAGTTTTTGTTGTTGTTGTTTTCTGTTGTTGTTGGTTTTTTTGGGGGGTGCGGGGCTCTTTTTGGTGTTTTTTTTACTATGTACATAGAAGGAACATCAATGACGCCCTGGGGACAAATTTTGACCCAAGGGCTTTAATTTTAACAAACTTGGTAGAGGTCTACTAGATATTGTTTCATGTAAAAAATAAGCTTAAGCTCTAGTAGTTTTAGAGAAGAAAGTTTTCATTTAATTTTAAATTAAACATATAAGGAAAATTTATGTTCATCCGGGGCAGACCCATTTTGACCCCAGGGCAATAATTTGAACAGTCTTGGTATAGATAATACCAGATAATGCCTTATGCTAAATGTCTTAGCTCTAGGCTAGAAGAAGATTTTTTATCTTTTAAATATTTTTGTTGCCATGGTTACCAGATTTCTTCATTGAATCGAATTATTTTAACAGCTTTGGGAGCTTTTCTCTCAATGATCAATCTTTAGAAGTTTGGTTGAAATTTGAAATGTTGTTTTTAAGGGGAAGTTTTTTAAGGCTACTATATAATCTATATAACCGACACACACACATACAAAGATGAACCACTATAATCCACCGCATCGCAGATGCCACGGTGGCACAAAATCACATCTTCATCATTTTGAAAGATTATGTCAGGGTCTGATATTGTAACATTTAAAGGTGCACTTTACCGCAGAATTGCTTTCATTTTTTATTTCTCAAAAGCTTGTTATGTTTGTTGTCCTATATCAGTTTCCAAGAAGTTACTCATCGGTCAACTACCTGAATTATCTTTTGCTTTTGTTGCCTTTTGGTTATAAATATAGCCAAAGTGGTTTAGCATTTTGTATGGAAATCAAAATACTTCTTTTTACATTTTGATCATTTTACGCAAATTATGTCACCTTCAGCGCTTCTTAACTCAGGTGACAAGCATCTAATACGAGATGCTCTAAAACAATTATAAATCTCATGTTTCTGAGGCATAATGAACCTTTAATTCAAATAAATGCAGTATAAGATATCCTATTCATGTATATCATGTCACAGCTGAATACCCGTTTAAAATTGTCTTGCAACTAATGCAGCTATATAAGCATTAAATCACAGTCATTATATTAAAAGGAGTGCCCGATTATTTCATATCTATGTTAGATATTTTTATCCATATCAAATCCTCTTAATATAGATTTGACAAGGAAACTAAATAAAACAATTGTTTTGCATCAGTAAACATTTATATTACATGTCTACTGATTTAAAGGAAATTAAAAAGATAAAAAAAATGTCATGATTTACAAGTAAATCCTAATATTTTGATAAGGAATAATTTGTACGCGTCAAAGTTCCAAATTGGTGCCAAAAAGCGGATTCACACCATCGATAACAATTATTTTGCCTTTGCTCCATTAAATGTTTCCGGACTGCCTGATCGGTCACTATAATGTTGTGAGATCCTTAATACTATGTACTGTTTCTTTATTATTGCTTAACCAATTAAATTTGAATAGTTTGAATGGCATTTCCTAGTTCATCATAATCACGAAAATTAAATTTTAAGCTAATAAACTCACGGACAAAATTCCTCTTCTTCTTTCCTTCGTCTTTTCCGACATTTCCACAACAGAAGAATTGCAATTGAAACTCCAAGAAAACCACCAGTAACAACAAATCCAATAACCGTTTCATTGTTGGTCCGTTTATTATCTGAAAATGAAACATTTTCTTTATTAAAGGTATTTTGCAATTTGGAAGACAATATCAGTGCTTAGATTTCAATAAGACAAGACAAGATTATATTGAATGCATAAGGCTAAACGGAACATGAGGACAGACATGATTTAGCAATTTTAACTAAAGAGGTGACGCAAACGCGACTCCATTTACCTAAGGAATGACTAGATATCAGATAAAACAACATTCCTCCAGTAAAGCAAACAAATCTTTCTTCAAAGACTTGTTAAGTCATAGCCCTACAACTTATTTAAGTTATACAAAAAGCGCATATTACGAGACATGCACTAAAAAGTTTAAAAAATAAGCACATTTGATATACAGACAATTCTAAACAAAAATGCTTTCGGAAACCTCAATTAAATATCGGTTCTGGAATCCCTAAATACATGTACAGTTGCATATTGAACTGATTTAAAAGTAATTGATGAAATAAACACAGCTTCAATTTCAATGATAATATAGAAAAACGCATTGAACTGTTTATCATTTTTATGCTCTCTCAAATGAAAAAAAGTAATAAGTGAATTTCGAAATTTAGCATATTATTCAGTAAATGAGCAGCTTTGGAGTAGCAAAATTATGACTATAAGTAAAATAAATTTTACCATGTTCTTCAATCATGTACTTGTAAGCAGTATTGCATGACTCTTTGCTTTCATTTCCAAATACCGCTAAGACTTTCAGAACATATTTCCCATTGTCATTAGATTTGGCAGAAATCATCTCTGAATACTGTACTTGCTGATCATACCCGCAATCAGAATCATTCGAACAATTTCTTGTATAATCATCATGAATTGTTGGAATTATTTCCTCCTCAATGCCACTACTAACCTACATAAATGTAATAAATAACCTTTACTTTTTGGATTTAACAAACAAACTCTAGTGTGGGAGCCATACCTCAAGACGTCTGACAGAAATCATGATCATAATTATGTAGTAAAAATATCATTTTTGTCATTCTTACCTTTTTCATTCATAGTCGTATATAAATAGGTGTGATAAGCCGTCTCAAAGTCCATTTCGGTGGGTGAAAAGGCGAGCTTTTACCATTTAGTCATTCTATACGTTATTTAATGTCATTCGAGCAAGGTCAGTGTAGTATAAAGTACAATTATTGTAATGTAAATGGAATTTCTTTTATACTTTTCATTAAATACATAGCGGACCTGAGATGTCAACCACTGGACAGACGAATGTTCTGGTGACAATATTAAGGTTATTCATTTGATCTGCCTTTGATATTTATTAACCCCACAAAAAATTGTATAACAACATATAGCTTCTCATCTAAACCCTAACCCCTTTAAATGTCAAATCTTATTAATGTAACAACATTTGAGATCTATGGCAACATATAGGGATTACTTCTCCGTCGTCTGCCTTTCTGTTTGTCTGTCAGTATGTCCGTAAGTCATTCAGTCTCAAAACTTGTCATGGTACTCCTCAAAAACTACTGATGCAATTACATCCAAAATTTACATGAATGATCAGTACCGAGTTTAGTTATGCAAATTGTCGGCGATTTTTTTGTCTAATGGTTTTGTCAAAGTTAATGCCCTTTAGTGTATTTTATTTGCAAAGTTCGCCCATACTTCCTCTCTTATATCAGTAATATGAATAAAACTTTGCATTATTGACCTGTAACGTAAGAAGCGTAAGTACGTGAGCAAATTATACGGGTTTGCCCAAAAAAGGCGCTTTGATCTGTTGACATTTTCATGTTGCCTGTAACACAAAAGCTGATACATAAAACAAAGTAGCCATCACTTCTTTGTGGTATGTTTGTCTGTCCATCCGTCTGTCTTTAGCTACTCCTAAAAAACTACTGTGCAATTTTATCCAAACTATACTGGACTGATCAGTACCAAGTCTAATTGTGCATATTTTAAGCATATTTCAGTTCTTTATTTTTATCAGAGTTATGGTCTTTCATATTATCTATTTTCATTTTTTAGTTTTGACTAGACTAGTTGTCTGTGACTGAACCGTCTCCTGTGGAAAGAGATGACAGTGACGTTCAGAGACATTCTCGACAAATACAAAGGACTAAAGTCATGTCGGAAACATGGACATTTAAAAGTGTATATGGACGTTGGAAAGGGCATGCAAGGGTTTTGCAAAGAGTGGGTTTTGCAAAGAGTATGCAAAAAGGGAGTGTTCAGAGACGGAAAATGGAAATGTGGTTAATAAACCTAAAACATTACGAAATGGAGGTGATACGAAACTGACTGTTGAAATAATTATAATATTGAATAAGCTTAAAACTGTTGTTTTAGAATTTGAAGTTTCCAATTACGTTAAAATAAAGCAAAATGAAAATACTCACTCTGTTTTCTCAAAACAGTAACTCTGGAAAATCTCTTTGCTCTGAAACAAATGAAGTGGCAGATTTTGTTGGAAAGAAAGCGGAGCCGAAAGAGAAGAAGAAAGAAAACATCAAATAAAATTACTTGGATGCAAAGGGCAAAGCAAAACATGAAAGAGGCTAGAAAGAATTTAGAGGTTGGTGCTGCTAGATTAAAGGAAATGAAACGTGCAGAAGAAAATGTTATTATTGACAATGTGATATTTCGTCAACTGCATGACCAAAGTGCTTCTCAGCAAATAATGGCACATAGTTGAACTGATCAAGACAATGATTTATTACTAATGTCGCAGACTGGACTTTCCGTGCATCCAAGTGCGTCCAAGATTTACAGTTTCTTAAGATAATCTTGCTTTATCTGCTCCATCTCATTCATATATTGTTACTCCACAATTAAGCATACTGCAAACTGTTTCCTCGGCAGTTCCACAAGGTGTACCTGCTACTCCAGATTAAAATGGTTGCCTCAGAAATGGCCATGGAAATAATGAATGTCGAAGAAAGCTGACCTGTAGCGTGTGTAAAGGAGACCGTCATCCAACGTGTATGTATGAGGAAAGGTCTAATAAAGAAACATGTGAAGCCGGCAATGATTTTATAAAGGCAGCTAGGTTAAGAGTAATGTATCAAATGAAAGGCATAGTGTGTTGATATCAATGGAACATAAACCGTGAAATATGCCTCGTTGGATACCCAGAGCGATTTTATCATTATTCATGAAGATACGTCAGTAGCCTAAGAAACGGAAAAAAACACCAAGCTAAGTTTATCAACAATGACTTCACAGCAAACAGTCATTGAAAGTAAGGGGATTACGGGACTAACGGTGACAACATCTTGAAGAGATAGTCAATGAAATATCACCTTTGCGGTCATGAGTTATCGGACTTCTTATTGGATGCCTATGCCCTTTAGCTTTAGTACCGAAACGGACAATAGAAGATGTGAATGACGAGCCATACGCAGTTCTGGCGAGCCTCGGAATTGTAGGAAATACGGATCTGCAGATTGAATCTGGTACCAAAAGGACACGTTTAATTTCTTAAACCACTCGAAAAAAACATGAATAAGAGAAAAACATACATAAGAGAGAAGATGGCCATTTCATTTAGAAATACCCTTTCCTATTAAAACATGATCATTGATTCCAGGCAACAAAAGGCTAGCAGATGTTTGTCTGTTTATCTTAAACGTAAGATCATGCAAATCTAGAGTTTTTGAGTCGATACCAAAGCATAATGGAAGATATGATCAACGGCGGTGATGCAGAATTAGAATAATCGGAAGCCCCAAGAGGATCAAAATTGTATATCTTACATCATGGGGTATATCATCCTTAAAAGCCTAATAAGCTGTGTGTAGTATTCGTCTGTTCTGCAAAGTATGGCGGTACGTCGCTAATGAACTTCTCCGTACAGGTCCAGATCTGACGAATGGTCCTACAGGTGATCTGTATAGATTAAAGAAGATAATCGTAGCGATAATGTATGGCGTCGAAATAATGTTTCATTAATTTTTCGTTAATAAAAGGGGGACAAAACCTTCTTGCGTTCCTAATGGTTTTTAGAGCGATGACACTGACACAAAGCCATCAGTATACAGAACGAACGTACACCTTTTTGTTACAGTATCGTCATATATATGTGCAAACTAGGGCCTTAAATACCTAACCTTCAGGTCAAAAGAGAAAACATTCTTGCAAGCATCATATTTGGTACAGGTACAGAACAATTTATATGTAGATGATGGTTTGGCGAGTGTAGAAATTGAAAATAAAGCTATATAACTTATACAGGATGCACAGTTTTTTTGAGCAAATGAAGGTCCTCGTCTGCATTAATTCATATCAAAAAGAAAAAGCGTCATTGACTCTATTCCGGTTCCTGAACCAACCACAGAGGTGTAAAGGTTAGATTTGGCATTTGAGGTTCTACCAGTTGAACGTAAAGTTCGTGTCAAAGAGACTACTTTTGGCGACGTATTAAAAATTCAGACTATTGTCAGACACAAACTACTGTGAATTGTGGCTTTGATATTTGATCCACTTGGGTTTCTCTCGCCGTTTATATTAACAGGGAAGAATATATTACAAGAATTGTGCCAAACTGAGTTGATTAGGACGACATTCACTCAACAAACAAGAAGTCTGAGTGGGACTGGTGGATAGAGGATGGGACGAATTTGAGTTGTGTCAATATTCCTCTGTGTATTCATCTATATTTTCCGAAAGCCATGTTAGTATTGAGTTGAACCTCTTTTTAGGTGCTAGCTGCAACGGCTATGTCCGATGTACATATATTAGATTCGTAGATGAAACATCAGTTCGTTGTGCATTCCTAATGGGAAATGCAAAGGTTGCGTCTTCAAAGGTCACCACTATACCGCGTCTTGAATTAACAGCGGATGAACTTTTGTCAAGACAAGTTTATTTTTGAAAGAAGAATTAGATCTTTCTTATGCCAGAGAGTTTTTTGTGGGTCCAACTCATGGGCAGTCATTGGCTACATTAATAACAAATCAAGGAGATTCCATAATTATCTTTGTCACCAATCGTGTGCAGATAATCATTGAAGCAAGGGACGTTTTCCAATAGTGCTATATGGAATCTGGTAGCCGTTCAGCTAATCATGTATCTTGTGGCTTAACAGCACAGAAACTCATCTGTTTCTCTTGATTAGAGGGTCCAACGTTTCTTGGGAAAAGGAGATTCATGAACCGAAACAAGAAACTGAGCTACAACTAGGAAATCTTGTCGGTAAAGCTGCCCAATCCCTATACATACAAGGGAATCATTTTCTTCTCCTTTCTCTCTTCTTTTTCTTTTTTATTGAATTGGCAAACCGTTGTCTCTGTCACAGCTAGAATCATGAAATTAGCAAAGAATGTTATGGGTGTTCATTCTTGATCAGTGCTGGGAATTTGCGTTATTGAGATTCTTGCAACGAAAGGCTTTTTAGAAGGAATTTAACATTATTTGCTCATCAGATACTTTGCCACAAACTAACAGGCTTTACACCTTTGTCGACGGCTTACTCTGGGTTAGTGAGAGACTGAAAGAAGCAGCGTTTTAGGGGACTTTGTCAAACATTTCGTGATACTTCCAAAGGGTGAACACATCACAAGTCTTTTTTTCATACGTTCACCAGACGGTACAACATTAAGGAAGAAGCTTAACGTAATATCAACTTCGGGCTGGCGGTTAATAGAACATTTTGGGAGCAAGATGATTTCGAACTTTATCCGTCAGTATGTCATTTGCCGCAACTTAAATGGCCTGCAGAAACTTGTACTTCATATTTGTGGTATATAGTGATGCCAAAAACGTACTGTAAGAAATATCTTGATCGCTATTCTAATAAAACATTCTGGTCGGCTGTTTTGGTATATCTTATTGACTGTGTATAATTCTATAACTGTTATTTTGATTAAAGTTTGCTTCTGATTATATCATTTTCAGATGTTTAGGAAGTAACATCATGTAAGAATTGCAAAATCGTTTAATGTGTCAGAACTGAGACTTGCTATTGTGGTTTTAGTCAATTTATGATTTTTGTATTGTTTCAGTTCTCGCGGTTTTATGGTTTATGGTGCAATACATCATAATAAAATCAGTCACGAACTGTTTTCTAGTTGTCTTTGTCCTACAAACATTTAACAGGTCGAATCTGATGGACCAGAAGCATCATAATTATAATACATCTCTTTTACTAGTCGTCTTTAAAGTAATGACATTTGAATTGAGAATTATGTTATAAACAACAAAACGCAATAATAAATGCACCCAATTGTTAAACAATCCATAGTTATGTGTACGTGCTTTGCTTCCTTACGGTAGTTAACAGTATTTGAGCCAATCAAAGTCCAGGAAGGAAGTTTATTTCCATTGTTACTAAAATTGATATATAAGAACTTACTGACACCTTTATCCATTTAAAAGAAACTTCAATGTCTTGAGATATACAACCCGATATCGCCCTGACAGTCCCATTTATTGTATCTTCAAAAAGAAGAGGCTCATAGTCTGTAAATACATTAAATAATTAATTAATTAATTAATTCTGGACAAAATATGATAATAATGTAAGAACAGAATTGTTCGATCATGCGGTGTTATATTCTTAGTGCTCAAAGTATACTTAGACTACCCCTATATCTGAGAGGAAAAACATGAGGATAATTACATAGAACGTGTAATATATGCTTTAAAACACAACAATTAAGGTAATGTTCAAAAGAGTTTTCTCTGTGTATTGCACATTTCAGTATTTTTATTCGAAAACTTGACATACATAGAATTAATTTATTATGCTAACCTGAAACTTGTATAACTTCATAATCGCTGTCAGAACCATCTGAACAAATCAACTTTCTCCCGTTGTCTTTCTTGGTTATCTCTATAACTGTCAAATTGAAGATGCCCTGAATATCATATGTAAACGTGTACTGTCCGTTATTTTCAGAGGTTAAAAAGCAATTATTTTGCGTACATTTTGCAATTGGTTTAATATCGGTTGCTTTCATCCACACAATGGCAAATGTGTTCTTCTTAAACTTACAAGTGAGTGTAACATTTCTACCACATTCATATGGCTTCTCACCAGTCTGATTACCGGGTTTCTGTATAGAAATATTCCCGCCTGAAATTACATGAAAACAAATTCAAAACAACTTAAACGTTTTGAGAGTGTATCAATATTAGTTAAGAATAACTAAGTATGAGGTTTGTGCACAAGAAATGAAATAATGAAACTTAACCGAAAATGACATTTGTGCAATTCTCAATTTCGATGGGTATAATATTATGCTGTTTGAACTATACTACAGTCATATCTTTGGATCAATTAAGTAACGGTGTATGTGTTGTAAGTAAAACTACCATACACCCAACTTAAACGTGTTCAGATCGAATATGACCATCAGAGGTAATATTTGTTATATCATCCTTGGTTTCTTAAATTTAAACAAATCTTGGTATTCAGTATAGTACAAATTAATTTCACTGGAATAATTCTAGCTAAAGTAACCATTAGTACCAATGTTGTTACAAGTTGCACGTGTTTCTTTTGATTATGTGTTTTTATATATATAATTGAAGTTTTAAGGTATATCGGTAGATAATAAAATAGAAAAGGTGAGAATGGCATAATAATATACAAGTTCTCAGGTTAACAATATCCATTTTTGCCGTAACAGGCATGTGTTGTTTATGCAATATGCTTTAAGTGTGTTTCAACAGATACAAAAGAAAAGAAAACACGAGACAAAGTTATGTTATCTTATATCGTAACAAAACAAATATTTACATGTATCTTTTATGCTGGTGTCAAAAGATAACGAAACAAAAAAGTGTGTGACCTGTGTTATGTTTGTGTCAGACATAGTTTTGTTTATACGAATCTATTTTAGTTCGACTGCGTTGGAACTTAAAAGCTTTTTGAAAACTCATGGAACCAATCGGTATAAAAGCAATGAGTTTTATTGTTTGCTTATGGAAACAACGGCTTGCCCCTGACGTGGTTGAATAGAGAGAAATAAAGATTCCCACAAGAAGAACGCACAAAACGTTAAGACAGAAAATTTTGCAGGCTCGGTTTGATTGAGTCTGTTCATGGACGGTACTGTTAAGTGCATTCTACCGTCCACGCCCACTAGCAACGACTTAAGCAGTATTCAACATTTAATATGAAAACGCAACGCTTTGATCACCCTATTTTGAATAATAATACACAATGAAACTGTAAGTTTGTTTGTACCCATAGATTAGATGGGAAAACCCACATTTGCCGCATTCCAGATAACAGCTATTTTAGTAAAACAAAGCATAAACCTTACCTGAAGTCAACTGAATTAATCCACATATAGTTAATCTTGTAGTTATCGTTAATTTCTGCCAAATCATTTTGTCCAACTTACGCTAAAATGCATCCAGGAATAAATTCTAATTTCCTTTACAACGAAAACGAAACTATTTCTACGAATTGAAGTTTAGGTTGCTATAAATCAAGGTTAGATAATACACGCCACTTAAATAAGCTTGAACGATATCTTATAAACAGATGACCTTGTAAACTAGTTATCAATCATAAAAGATGGTGAATATAATAATACAAAATATTGAAAGTTTTCATGTCGGTTTTATGTTTTAATTTAACCTTAGCTACAACCTTTGCAGATTACGTAATCTATAATTATAAGCCGGCCGCCATATTGGAGATATGGTCATGTCCCAAATAATTGACAGGAGACGGTAAAGTGTAAACACGCGCATACAAATGATATTTATTGAAAATGGTGAACTATTGTCGAGTTTTAGGATGTCATAATTAGATCTGAAAGGGATAATGACAAACAGTATTATCGATTGACCTTGAAGGGGAAAAATAAACACTTTCCGAATTAGCAGACAACAAAAAAGCTAGGCATATGGTAGGTTTAACAGTTAATTTAAATAGATGTGTTGAAGTATATACAGTACTGTGACGAAGCTAAGATCCAACGCTTTCCATTGGTGTAAAAAATTTCAAAATTGAACATCACAACAAAAAGGCTTAATTTGTATGTTTAAGTATAAGAGATATCGATTTTACTGGAAATCAAGGGAAACAATTCGTATTTTTTCACTCGATATACCTCGGTTAGTTGCGTAGCTTATATCGAACGTGTCATGGTATATGGGTGTATTGTCGGAAGAAAGAATGCGTTTGTGGTTGGCGAATTAACATCAAGACTTCGCTTGGAAAAATTTAAAAAATGTCCGAGTCTGTTCAAATCATTTTGTTAGCTTTAAAATGTGTTTAATTTTCGTCATTTTATTACATTAAATTAATTTCAGTTTCATAGACAGTGGGATTGAGAATATGTGTGCATCCTTAAAATCTAAGTTGATATACACGTTTGTTGACAAGTTGAGAAAAATTATATTTATTATGGAAATATTTTACAGCTGGGCTAGAATCAAGTCGGACACCTTCAGCAACTATTTGATTCTGTGATATTCCATCTAAAATGACTTTAATCTGCATTATAAGTATTGAATTTGATAAAGTAAATATATTAAAAATGTAACTCATTATTTTTTGCAGAGAGAGAAGCAGCTTTATATGAAAAAGAGAGTCCTAACTTCCTAACTGTGCACCTACAGTCAATATGGGGTCAAAACAGTTAACATCACCATATGTTCCCACTCATTGCTTTCAACGACGTGAAAATAGAAACAGAAAAACCGATGCAGCAAGGAGCCTGCTTAGAATTTCTCAGGATTGTGAAGCACTGTTACTAGAGGAGGACTGTACACTTGACCAAGGCACACCATGCCAAACTGATCTTACTTCTGTAGGAATAACCGCAATGCAAAGCGAAATATCTTATATACAAACTAAACAAATCAGGAATTATGAGATAAATTGTCAGATAAAAATCCATATAGTATGAGAAAAATGGTGGAAAGGTTAAGTATTTCACAGGATTTACATGTTTTTCTATGCACTTTGCATTCTATTATTTCTTAGAGGCAAACATACCCACTAAGCGGTCTTTAAGCAAGTTCGAAACCTTAATGTTGACACTTATCAAACTGAGACTGGTTTAAATAACCAGTTCTTGTCTTATCAGTTCAAAATTTCACAATCAAATGTATCCATGGTATTTTCAGATGTCACTGATATAATGCATATTCACACGAAGCAATTAGTGTATTGGTCTGACAGGGAGATGTTAAGGCTCACAATGACAATGCAATTTCACCAACATTTTAGAACTGCATGTGCTGTCATCAGAGACTGTTTCAAGGTTTTTATTGAACGCTCATCAAATTTAAAAGCAAGAGCGGAAACCTGGTCCACATACAAACATCATAATACAGTAATTTTGCATTAGTTATAACACCACAAGGTGTTATTTCTTTTATTTCAAAGTCATGGGGTGTGAGGACCAGTGATGAACACATACCTTAAAAGTGTGGTTTTTTACATAATATTTCACCAGGTGATCTTGTGCCGGCAGATAGGGGCTTTGATATTTAAGCAAGCGTTGGAAGTAAGTGTGTGAAAGTGAAAATTCCTGCTTTCACTAAAGGGAAAAGCCAGCTATCTCCGCTTGATGTCGATACAACAAGAAAGAATGCAATGTCAGAATCCATGTTGATCGAGTGATTGGGCTTGTCAGACAGAAATACACTAAACTAAATGGTACATTACCATCGCTAGGGATAATGGGGATATTCCTTAAGTGGATAAAATTGCAAAAGTTTGTTGTGGACTTGTTAACATGTGTGAACCTGTAGTGAATTTTGATTGATCGTATTTGTATACACATCACTTATAGTAAGCATACTATACTGTCTCAGCAATGTTTGTGACAATTTGTTTATCTGTTGATTCATGTGGAGAAGCTGTCATCTACTTGGGGGGAAAAGTATTAATGCTGGTGCTGATTTTGATACAAACATTTTTTCCAAATTATTATAAACATAATTATTAATTTGTTTTACTATGTAACAAAACAAACAATAACAAGAAGTATCTTTAAAAAGATATTCGGTCGAAGTCAAACTTGTTAACTTGCATAGGATAATTTACTACTAACCATGCTTATCGCAAACAGAACATTTTATTCGTTCAATTTCAGTTCATTTTTACCAGCAATGTTTTCCCCAATTTATTGTCATCTTAGATTTAAACACAATATTACTTAAATTATTTGATTTTGATCAAAATGGAATTTCATTTGAATAGGAATTTATAATAAAACAAAGATTTAGTGGATACTGTACACTAATTCCATGGAGAATTTTGCTACTGTAAATTAGTCGAATGTTCGTTTCAGTCGTCTTTTGTCCGGTTCGAAAAGAGAATATAATGACTAGAACAGCTTAGAAGAGAAGAAACCAAATCGAACGCAAAAGTATCAAAAAGACGATCTGTCATATTTAATTTCATATATTTATTCAAAAGTTTTTAGAAACATCTAGAAAATATCATTACTGTGTATTTTATATTTATTCTGACATCTCTTTTTTCAACACTTCTTGCCATCGCGCAATCGAACAGACCTCTACTTATAACGGAAGCTCTTGTAAAATAAGATTTATTTTTTGATATCATGTATTAAAAACGTATTTTTGTGATAAAATTGTTATATGTCTATTAACGGAATAATTTTAATGAACACGAAATTAGTTCACACCTTTATGTGTATTGATAACGTGATGGTTTAAGCCAATGAAAACACATCAATATTATTACAATCAGGCAAAGAAAAAGTTTGCAAAGAATAAATAAATCGATAATCTTTAAGTATCAAGTATTTTTTCATATCTTTTCGGCAGGATAAGCCAGGTATTTTCGTATCGTAAATACTGTATCAAGTGATTATCCCAAGCACCACCGTGACTTAGTGCAGGAATTATATATATAGCTAACCTCGGCGCGTCGCATAGGATGGAAAATACCTTTTTTCATATTTTACTGTAATAAATATTTACAAACTGTTTCTTTCGGTTTTTTATCAATATATATAACAAATAATGATGTTAATATGTATAAATAATCATACTATGACTTACAATGAAATTCTACCTTTAGTGTATTAAAAAGGTTTTTAATTTCCTGTAATTTTATTCTGTGATTATGCTTCAAAGCAGTCAATTGACCGTGAATTTTCTTTTCATATTTTGATTTCCTTGAAATCATTTTTCTCATCTGAAGGCATGCAACTGTAATATGATGATACATAATTACATTCCATGAAAATGTTTAAAGATATAAAATATCTCATGACATGTTTGTTCATTTTACATTACTATAATGCAGCAAGCATAAAAAGTCTTCACAAAAAGTAGTATGCAATCGTACCTATATTACATACGAATGTATGTAATATTTTTCTTGTTTAGATATTTTTGGGGTTCTGAAATCTTATTTTGCTGTAAAATGCATCAATATAGAATTAACGTAATTATTTAAACAGATAAATGCACTATATCAAAAATAAATCTAATTTTCGTAGCCGCAATCTTATTTTCGCGAAAATAGCTTCTTTTCGGTATCCATCTATACCGTTTGTCCGCCATTTTGGAAAACGGCCGAAGGATACAATCCGCTTTAAATCGTGTTATTTATATTGATCATGTTGATGGCGATTGTTGATTACAACCAATCATTGAATTATGCAAAATATAACATGGGACAAGTTATTAGACCTTTATTCTTTAAAATAAATGTGTTTTGTTATGAATTACAAGTTTTACATTTGTAGTACCCTTTCGAGCAAACCTTTCCGGTAATTTGACCTAGTTTTCGGAGAAATTGGCCATTTTCAACTACAGTTTAAAATTAGTTATAGCCCATTTAGAAATAAAACAATGTCAAGAAACAAAGTTTAACACCCCTGACAAGTTTTAAAAGCATCTATTTTCTTGAATATAATACTTTTAGAACCTTGCAGGTTTTTTCAAAATACCCTACGAAAGATGCAAAATTTTGCGATTTAGCTCACTTTCACGTACATATTCTGAACAAAATAAATACTGTCAGAATATTCAAATACATGCACGAAATAATTGTTTTATGCTGAAGATTTATAGCAATTTTCAAAGCGCTAAATTTGTAAACAAAGTCACAGGCAAGTTTTAAAAAACATGTATAAACAGTGGTAATATTACGCCCGTGTGAAAATTACGCGACACCAGAACAGACATTAGATGTCAAATATATACATTCGTTTGAAACCACCTGATAGAACTACTTTCATCCGTATTGTATCCGATGTTATTATAGATAATAGCCGAGGCAGTTCCGAATGGTTATATCCTATGTTATCTCATTTACATCTGAAAATGATGTAATTTAATCTAAAAGAAACTAATTTGTGTCGTTTATAAATAATAGTTTAGCTGATTATTAGAGCAGAACTTTAAAATTAAAATATCAAATCTGTAAAGGTAGTATACAGGGTACCGGTTTATAAAATTTCATCGGACAATAAATTACTACTAAATTTTATTAAAATGTGAATTGCCTTATCTTCATTTATAGTAGTATATTTTGAGCTTCATATCTATGTTACGTTTCAATAGATAAGGAAGCAAATAGTCGAATTCATATAAATTGGAAAAAAGTGGTGAATTTAAAAGATACT